TTGGTCTACCACCATCATTATTTCTTTCTTTTCACTGTTGAAATACATAACCAGTTTATTTTTTTTAATTTGGGGGCCAGTAGATGGCATCATGGTTATGTCACTGGACTTCCACATGGCCAATGGCAATTCAAGTCCCAGACTAAGTGGCTTGAAACTCACACCAGGCATATGAGGGTGCATGCCCAAGATTCCAGGAGGAGAATGGAGGAGAAGGGATTGCTATGTGGCTAACTCGGAGGTGGAGCAGGAAGACTGTAGCATGGTGAAACTCTGTCAAAAATAAATCTTTCACTTTCACATGTGTGCTCATTTTTAAAAAGTTTATTTCTGGGACCAGCAGTTAGTGTAATGGCTATGTCACTGGACTCCCACGTAGTTGACCATGGTTCGAGTCCCGTACCCGGTGGCTTAAACTCACGCCAGGCACATGTGCATGTGTGCCCAAGATCCCAAGAGGAGAATGGAGGAGAAGGGATTGCGGCATGGCCATCCCCCCTGGGGGGTGATTTCTCATTTTCTGTCTCTATGTCTCTCTCTGTCTTTCTGGCAAGCGCACGCACCCTATAGCAAAAAAAAAAAAAAAAAAAAAGTTTATTTCTTCCCAAAATGTGTAATCAGTTCTGAACAGCTTTATTTCAGGGTAAGGATAGTTACTCAAGCTTTTACAAGAAATTAAATAAAATTTCTGTAAATAATAATTTGTAAAAGGTTATAGAACACAATTATCTATAAAATTCCTTTATAAAAACTTTAAAAAAATGATTATTGTATGAAATATTCCTCATAACCCCAAATAACAAAGTTATGGCTTTGAACTCTTATGCTCCTTCTCTGGATCCAAAACCAAAAGTTGGTTAGAAATAGCATATTTCATTATAGTTTTGGCCTTGATGGAATAGATGCCATTTGGACAAATCAGAAGCCATGAAAAAATTTTCAGTTCTGTTACTTTGGTTAATAATCCTGAAAGATTTCAGACATAAATGTGTATATCCATCAGGCTCAGATGGCTCAATTTGAAAATGTTAAAATACTATCAAATTCCTGGGTTTATAAAGAACAACAACCAACTTACCCATAACTACTGTTCTCCTATCTGGTGCCTTTCATTCCATATTAACGACTATTCAGCATCTAGTTTAAAAATATGGAAAATCCCAAGGAGAAGTAAAATCTTTTACTGGCAGGGACTAATCAGCTGTGAGAGGAAATAATGCATTTGACTTTATAGCAGCATTTGTATTCATGGGACTTCTTTATATTCTATTGGTCATCGAAAAGTCATGACATATTTTTGCATAGAAAAACAGAAAAATACATTATGACTTTTCCAACGGCACAACAGTTCAACTACTTTTCTGTCAAGATTAGCTGATGACAAGAGTACAAACCAACTTTAAAAATATTTTTAAAAACACAGGTTCCTATCCCTTTATAAAACTATTATTAAGTGTTTACTATGTGCCAGATATTCTTTGATAAACTTTTGGCCTATCTGGGGGGTGGTGAGAGGACACAGATAAAAATTTCAAGCCTTCATGGAATTTACATTCTAGTGGAGAAGGACAAAAAAAATAATAAAATGAACCTATTAAATAAGTAATATTGTGAAAAGGATGACTAAGAACCTTTCACTGTGAAATTAACTTTAAATTTTGTAATACAAATGGCTTAGTTAGTCTTTTATTGATACAATGCCTGTCACTCAATGATGGACGCGCATTGTGAGACTCAAAGATGCACCTCTTTTTTTTTTTTTGGAGAGGTTTTCGCTATAGGGCTCGTGCGTTCGCCAGACAGACAGACAGAGACATAGAGACAGAAAGCGAGAAATCACCCCCCAGGGGGGATGGTCACACCGCAATCCCTTCTCCTCCATTCTCCTCTCAGGATCTTGGACACGCACGCACACATGCCCAGTGTGAGTTTTAAGCCACCGGGTCCGGGACACGAACCGCGGTCGACTACGTGGGAGTCCAGCGACATAGCCATTACGCTAACTGCTGGTTCCCAAAGATGCACCTCTTATAACTAATATGAAATGGGTCTGATAATATGAACCAGGCTTCTGTTAATAACTGTACTTCACGTTTGCTCTTTGAATCAAGGGCCCACTGGGACAGTCCCTTTATTAAGAGCCTTCAGTGCCTGGTCCTTCTATCCCTGATGCATCTTCCGTTCTCTAAACATTGTGCGCACAATGTCTTGATCAACCTCTACATCAACTACTGGAGATACACAGTTGATTAAGATCCTAGTCTTTACCCCTAAAGAGTTAATCTACCAATAGAAGAAAGATAAAGGAAGATCAAGGCTTACAGTGCAAAACTGAAGTACGCAAAGTATGCTGACTGTGTCCTAAAGGGGGAATGATTACCTCTGCCTGAAAAAGACTACTCTGATGAGGTGCCTATGCTGACATTGGGAAGATGCATAGTTGTGTGAAGGCAGGGAAGTACAGTAGTTCATAGGGACTAGGAAGTGAATAAGCTTGGGAAATCAGACAGAGAGGACGAGATCCTAAGAAGCTAAATCCTGGAACAGCAGAGGCTATGTCTATATAGACATCATTACTGGGAGATATATCCCTCATGAGAAACAATGGAAAGCAAAAGAAGAGGTGACTTATGAGTGCACTTGAGTTGGAGCACTGGGCACACTGTAAAGGGAGACTAGACCTGAAGGTACAGGTTAACCAAAGGGCAAGTAACTAAAGAAAGCAAGGGGACCACACAGCAAAAGAAAACACCACCTAGAATCTAACCTAGACCCCAACTGTGTCTTCATTCTCTTGGAAGATCTTCTACTCCCCATTGGACATGCAACCAACTAGTCATCCAGGTTACCAGTAGGCACACTCTTCCATTCATATGCTAGCCTAAACCAAGCAATGTTTCCACACCAAACAGGAGAAGTGCCACCATGTGTGCCTTTTATACATGTACAAGTTGAATGACGTAAAGAGAATTTCCCCCTACTCATATTAAATACCTAAAAAATGTTATGTTCCAGAATTCATATAGGATTCTTGATTTTTAACCAGTCGTTGTCCTCTTGCTCTAGAAAACCAATAGTAAGAAGACCATGCCTGGGGAACATTCTATGTGTTTTATATATAGCATACTGTAGTGATTGTTCATTTCCCCAGCTAGTCTAGGAACTCCTCAAGGGCAGGAACCAGCTAATAGTAAACATTCAATTAAGGAATGACAAACAAATGAATGAATTAACCCACTGAATTCTTCTCCATAGTTCCAGGCTCACGTAACAGATAGAAAACATACCAACTGCTGTTATTTTTCATTCTAAGTGACAACAGCATGAAGGTGGTTCAACTGGCTTTGCACAAACATGAATTCCATGATCCTACACCAAGGCACACAAAATCAAATGCCAGAATCAGCAGAGAGCAATTCTATGTTAAAATTTTTAAATGAACAGTCCTCTGCTTTCAGAAATTTTCAGTGAGTATGATAGTGCCGGTTTAGAGTTCATACACACATGCAAATGGATGTATACACATACACACATACACACCAGCTTGGAAAGAAACACTGTAACCCAAAATATGAGGATGGATAAAATCTTTTTGAAAAACTTTAAGAACTCAGTTCAGCCCTCACCTCTTGCAAATATACATATAAGCAGTATCCTGGCGCAGGCTGAAATGTAACAGAAAAAAATAGAAGATTTTCTTTAAAAAGACCACCATTGTTAAATCAAAAAGTAAACAATCATTTAAATCGAAGTCTCAGATTCTGGGCAGGTAACCCTAGACCTGGGCAGTGACAGTGTGCTGGGTGACAGCTACACAACAAATCTCCTACAGCAGCCGGGCTGTATCTCCCTCCTAAGGTCTCTTCTCAGTTGTCCTCTAGTTACCAGGTTACAAATGCTATGCTTAGAGCAGAAGAGAGTTGACTCCACTGAATAAAAATAACGATGATGGTAAGATATGTGCAGATAGTTCAGATTGACAGTGAGGAAAAGAGGTCCAGGAATCATCCTCTGCTCCCTATAGTGTGAAAGTGTGTGAGTCTGGCGGACTGGGAGGGGTGAAGGGTGTCTTTTCTTGGTAAGAAGAAGAAAGTGCAGAGACAGTACAGAAGAGAACTATTTTCTGGAAACCATAGAGGGCCTGGTCTTTTATCCCCAGGCCCAAGCCCAAGATTGGGGGCCCGGGTTTTGTCATGGGCGCCTCCCTGCTGCCCTGCCCCAGCAGCTCCTCATGAGCAGAGAGAGACAGGAGGCAGGCCCCTCTGACACCTACTTAACCGAAGCAGATGGAGAGGGGAGCGTGTGGGATGCCTTTACTTCCCCCTCAGGAGGCGCCCAGCAGGAGCCCACAGAGCCAACAGCTCCAAAAGCGATTTCCACACATCCTCCCACCCCAGAACGAGCCTTACCCCTCTGGCAGGAGGAAACAGAGCATTAAGCAAGTGTGGCTCTGGTGCATGAAGATTTCAGAAGACCTCAAGAAGCCTTTTTAGGGGAGTCTGTACTGTTTTCAAATCTCTACAGAGGTAGCCAAGTTGGGAAATAGTCATTCATTCGTTGACTCAAAGGGGGCAAGGCTGTTACTTTGAGGAGGACACGATCTGTGTCTGCAAGACGTCCCGGGCTTCAGACACATCCTTTATTAATAATCTTACATACACAAAATGTCCCAGGGAAAGTTTAACAGGCTATTTTCTGACAGCTCCAGATAACAGTAGTCAGAACTGAATCCAGCCGGACCCTCCTGCTTCCACATACTACACAGAAGCAATGAGCCCTTTCCCACCCAAGGGATGTGACACAAATAAATAAATACAATTATCTGCAGAACTTAAAGTGCACAAACAACACTGCAAAGTCCTTCTCCCCGAGTGCAGTGACTTGTGGGAAACAGATATGAAAATAAAGAGAACAGCTGGAAAAGTTAATTACAGAAGAACAGTGCAAAGGAGGACGCTGTTTCACAGAACCAGCCAATAGGCAAAGGCACCCTCCCTTACCTTAAGATACAGAAGCAGCTCTTCGCTCCTGAAGATAAGCGGCAGAACCCGAATCTCTGTTTGCTGTCAATGTCAGTGAGCACGAACGTGAAGTTCTGGCCAACTTGGCTAACTGTGAGACTGAGGCAAAGACAGAACAAAGAGGAAAATGAATTGTGCAGTAAGCTTCCTGATAAAGTATCTAATCATGACAAGTCGTTGACCCTTATAACATTTCCTCTCTCAGTGGCGCTCCTTATAAATGAATTTAGAATGTATAAACTTCAAGAGAACAGACTAAGTCAGTTAAAACAAAGCTAGCCAGCAGCTGGTGGTAGTGACCACCTCAGAAATCAAAATCATCAGCACTATCAAACCTTCTTTCTCCTTATTGACTTCAGCCCCGGAGGTAGCTCTGTAAATAAGTCCATCAGTCTGGAAAGGTGCATTTTATTAACCTCATTTTATAGATGAAGAAACAGTCTAGAGAAGCATTGTCTGAAGTCCCAGCTGTAAAATGGCAAAAGCAGTTCTTTAACCCTACTCTGACTCCAAAGGCCACACCACCGGCTTTGCTAACAGTGTTCACCTGGTAACTCCTCTAGTTCAGAAAGTGACTGCGACTGTAGAATCTGTCTGCTATTAATACATGCCAACCACAGAATTAGACATCTGTTTTGTACCTCATTTGCACCCAGAACAACCCTGGTATTTACACCGTGTTCCCATTTCACAGAAGAAACTAAAGGACAGTATAGGTGGCTGATTCAAGCTTGTGGTCATTAAGGGGAGGAACCAAAATCAAACTGGAAGCAAAACAGGGCAAAGTTAATTTTTACTTTCCTAAATTTCTCTATCTTTCATAATTTATGAATTTATGAGGGTAGTATTTCATATTTTAGAAGACAGAAATGCTGAGGTGTCTACCACTGCAAGGTGCTTCCTAATAAATGGAAACAATATTTTAAAGAAAGACATTAAAGAAAAAAATTCCTGTATCAATATAGAAAATTTAAAAACCATACATAAAAGCAACAGAAAATAATTTTAAAAATTTTAAAAACAGGACCAACCCCATAATAGAGTGGTTAAGTGCTGTGCATAAAAAGCTCGATTCTACATGACTGACTACAGCTGCATGCAAGCCCTGGTAACTTGAAAAACATGCCAGGCCCCACCCAGGATCCTATCTGATGGCAAAATAGAGGAAAACGGATTATGGAATAACCACTCCAATTGAGGTGTGCTGTTTCGCTCTCTCTCTCACAAGTGCACATGCTCACTGGAAATTGAAAAAAAATTTAAAAAGCAAACTAAGAGGATTAAACTAGAAACTCTTTTTTTTTTTAAGTTATAAAATGTTTTTTTTTTCTTTTTTTGGAGAGGTTTTTGCTATAGGGCGCGTGCACTCGCCAGACAGAGAGAGACAGAGAGATAGAAAGCGAGAAATCACCCCCCAGGGGGGATGGCCACGCCGCAATCCCTTCTCCTCCGTTCTCCTCTCGGGATCTTGGGCATGCACGCACACACACCTGGCGTGAGTTTAAGCAACTGGGTCCAGGACTCAAACCACGGTCGACTATATGGAAGTCCAACAACATAGCCATTACGCTAACTGCTGGTCCCAAAGTTATAAAATGTTTTAAAATCCACTTTTTAAAATCAATTTACCAGTTAGCTTGGATTTTCTTTTTTAAAAACTTATGTATTCCAAATTGTAATATACCGATTTATACTAACATAGTAATTTAAATGACATTGAATTATTCAAAGAAACTCATCAATTTGTATTGTATGTATCATATTGCATATTACAATGTGTACTCGAATTGAAAAAATACTCCAATTGGTACAGTATTCAAATCAATAATATCACCTATAATTTACTTCATAAATCGTCAATGGAAATAAAAGGCCATAGTTTATCAGGCCTTTTGCACAGACAGAATTCATATTGACTCTTTGAATATAATATATTGTAAATTAAGTTTTCACTCATAGGGTAGTTCTAAAACTTACATATGGAAGTCACTTAAGAAAATTAAACTGAAAGGGATTTTCAAGGTATCCCCATACAAAGGTCAATGGGTCCTGCCTAGTCATTTTTAAGGAAACAATTCTATCCCTTGAGAGTGGTTAGAGAGCACAAGAAATAATCCAGGAAGAAAAGAAAGTACTACACTCTCCTCATTTAACTAGGAAGGTGAACAAAAACAAGGTGGCAATTTAAAAGCAATGTGGTAATAAGCAGGTGTAAGTAATGCTATCCCTCCACCTTCCAGAGCCAGGAGAAGGAACACATTTCTATAAAAGTTATAGAGCTGTCAAGGGGACACCAAACGCTACCTTCTATGGCTGTTATGTTTTATCTATAAAGCTTGGATACTGTGTTACTATGGTGATTTAATACTATGTTTTAAAAGGGGATTATATGATTAATTTTAACAAGGTTGAGAACTGAAGATGTGTGAGAAACAGGATTCTAGTTCACATAATTAAAGTGATTGGGGAGAAAAATGGGCCTCAATGAGGGAGGGCAAAAACCCATTTTATTAAAATATTTAAAGCAATAGGTCTGGATGATTCCAAGCTACAAACAAGGTCATGCTTTTGTGAAATACTACTATGTGATCATACAAAATATGACTCTTCGTTATTTTAACTTGGGTTTTGATTTCACTTCTAGAATGTTAAAAATGAATATTGTTTAAAAAACTGCCTAGCAGTGAAGGGTATTTGTTAGTAAGAACTTGTATGATAAGGAAACACCTAGGATCTTTATGAAAAGGATACAGAATAAACACAACTTGATGTTCAAATTGAGTGTCATTCATTTCTGACTCTCTTCATTACCATTGAAAATCAGCCCAGCCAGTAACTCGCACTGCTAAGATGCTGTGCTCCACAGGCTGAGACCACATGGGAGGCCCAGGTTTGATTACTGGTTCAACCTAAAGGCCAGGCACAGTGGTATGTGCCCATAATATCAGCAACTCAGTGAGGCTGAAGCAGGAGGATCACAAGCTCAAGGCTGGCCTGGTCAACATGGGGAGAACTTGCCTTTAAAAAAAGCCTAGTGTGGGCGGGGCGGCGGTGGCGCCTGCGCTGCTGTGGCCGGGCCT